TTTTTGGAATTCGGTTAAAAATTTCACAATATGCGAAAATATATCGTAACACATAAAATATTAAATACACATCCGTCTTTTAGATATAAGTTTAATAGTAACGTGATATGGTAGCTGTTAAAAGTTTCTTTAATACACAAAAGTTAAATATAAATCGGTGAAACAAATTTTCAACAAAGTAATTTAAAATTTTACAAAATTGATTATAATCCCAGAATAACAAAATAGACTACTAAGCTAACCAAAATTAAATTGTATTATATACTCGTAGTGTGGCCTTTTAGTGCTTATTCATCGTCAAAGTTATAACCGATCATGATGAAATATGGCATTTCTAAAGAATCTTTGCGACATGAGGCTACACGTACATCCATACATATAATAAAATTGTAATTAAGCCGAATCTGTACATTAAATATTTTTTGAAAAATCTTATTGAGATAAATGAGGCCGAATCTTAGTTTTTAGAATTTTTGTCTGTCTGTCTATCTGTCTGTCTATTACCGCATCACAGAAAAGCCACTGGAGAGATTTGATGAAATTTGGTATGGTGATAGCTGGTTATCTGGGTCAACATATACGACACTTTTTACCGCGGGAAAATGTCTCATTTCCGAGAAAAAATACAAAAACTGCAATGTAAGAGTATACTCGTACTAATATGTAAAACCTCAGAATTTGGTTTTTGGTCATATGAACGCGGGCGGAGCCGCGGGCAATGCTCTTACATATATATATTTTGCACATGACGCCTCTAGATCATACCGAAAAATAATGAACCCGTTGTTTTTTGACCGATATAAAAAAAGCGAATGTGTTTTTAATTTGGGTGTATAGTTTTATTTGTGTGTATGGTTCGCCATGTCGTCGTCAATTCTAAATCAATTTCATTTATAGGAGGATATACCTTGAGGGTAGTTTGGAATTATATTTAAAATGATTTAAAAAATACTTATATAAAAATTTTATGACTTATTGTTATTCAATTTTTTTTTAAATTGTAAATTTCACAGCTATACCTACATAAAATTTCTCTTATTCCTTTAACAAATTAAACAATATGTATGGCGTCGTGAATAGTATAAACAGAAAAATCACGCTACTATTTTTGACTTTTTAACCGACGAAAAAAGGGGAAGGTTCTCAATTTGACATATAATATATATTTTTTTTATGTTTGACCACGCAAAACTCTTTACAGTGAAATCTGATTTCGATCATTCTTTTTTGATTGGATAGGGTATATCTCAAAGTTAGTGCTATTCAAATGAAAAAAAACCAACCCTTAAAGTAGAAAAAGGAGATAATTATCTTTAGCCTACTGAATTTTTAAAATCCTTTCTTCTTCTTTTACACTATGCACTGTCTACAGTAAAAATGGAAAATAAAAATCTTAAAAAAAAAACACTTGAAAATAAAAAAAACTGCTTGGTAGCTTTCATTTACTATAGATACTTATCAGATATTTTCGAAGTCTCTGTGTGTTTTGATTTGTATCGGCTAGCACCGACTTCGAGATTATCTGATTAGGTACGAGTATCTATAGTAAATGAACACTACCAATCAGTTATTTTGTACTTTTTAGTGTTTTTTTGAAGTTGGTTTTTATTTTATTATCAAGTTCTTTCTATAAAATTTACGACTCGTCTATATAATTTTCTTTAAACGACCGTATTATATCACTTTTCTAACAAACTGCGTATACATAAATAATTTATGTGAATTTCTTTTATGACAAAACTTTGTAAAATTTTATTACGAGTACCTACTAAATATGATTTATAAAGTCATATTTAGTACTTGTAGTACAACTGTGGCATTCTGACATTTACTCGTTGCAAACTACTGTTAGCAGCAAAAATAGTATTACAAACCCAATTCACCAAATCTACAATACAGCAATTTCTACGTTCAAATAGCATCATTTGTTTGCGGATATAGTACTATTAATCACATTATTATTATAAATGTGAAAATTTGAAGTTGTATTTGTTTGTATGTATGTTTGTTAATCCTGAGCGCTGAAACGGCTGAAATAATTTAAATGGAATTCAGTACACTGGTACACTGGAGTAACACGTGGATTACGTTGGTAATAAAATTAGCAAAAAACAGCGTCCTCTGCATATAATACTCTAAATATAAAAGACACTTGGGTCTGTCCATATATGGCTTGGGTAAGTCTGTAGTTGTACATTTTCTGTCCTTACTTGAGAAATGATTGATTCCTCATACAATCTTCCACACCCCTTTTCATCTCCTGATTTCCGGGATAAAAACTATCCTATGTCCTTTTTTCTCAAACTATCTCAATTTTAAATTCCATGTAAATTGGTTCAGTGGGTTAAGCGTGAAAAGGTAACATACAGACAGAGTGACTTTCACATTTATAATATTAGTATGGATATATGAAATTTAAAAACGTATACGAATAACATGACGTTAGCAAACACCAATAAGCGCCAGTGCTTTGTGCTCAAATTGTTTCCGTATTGTGAAATGGGGCTAAAGTAAACAGATCGTTTTACCATTTGCAATACTTTAATGTATGTCTACACTACAAAAATATTTACGCGGAAGTAAAACTAAACAACTCGTAAGAATTGTGTACTAGCACAGATCATATAATACTATACTTACTAGTAAAAAATCAGTAATGCATGTGTCTGTCGGTATGTTCATCGATTTTTAAAGATAATAATATTGAATTAATAATATTTCATATGAGGGGGATTATAATACTTTCTTAGATTTACGCGAATACTTGACATTTTAAATAAAACTATCTTTTCGGATTTTTTCGCGAATTTATTTTGATTTTTGGTTCCCGACGTTTCGAATGCTTTACAGCATCCATAAATTCGCGAAAAAATCCGAAAAGATAGTTTTATTTAAAATGAGGAGGATTATGTTGAGTATATTATAATATATCCCCCCCGTATTGAAGGGAGGCCCGTGCCCAGCAGTGGGACGATATAAAAATCAAATCAAAAATCAAAATCAAAATTTTTCACCCAAAAAGAATTTCATCTAAACTTATGCTAAAACGTGAAGAAGTATATATATTTTTGTTTTTACAATATTACCTAGTATATTTAAACACTGATATTGAAAATTATACTTATAAGTCATTAGTATACCATATAAGTACCTACTAATTACCTATACGCTATTTATTTTACGTGCAGTGGTCGAGGTTTGACCATAATCATTATTGAACATTTGGGGAAAATGTATATGAATAGTATTTACCTATCTATATAAAAAAACGCTTCCAATTTTTTTTTCACTGATAACACTAAAGCTCGTCAAATCAAACTAACCAAAATGAAAAAGAAAATCTATTGACAAACAAAGTAGAAAAGGTACTGAATTGTTTTGTCTGTATATATATAAGGGAACTTTAAAGCTAAGGATCCCATACGTAAGTGGTAGCTTATGGGATGTTGGTGAAATCGGGCATTAGTCATTTTAAAAATGGGATTCACATGTGAGTTTCAGAAGTGCACGACCCAGGATTCGAACCTGCTTTATCCTGTTTTCATATCGATTACGCTTTATCAAAAATAACAGAGCAATTCGCAAAATATTCCTGTATAAAACAACAATTATATTACTTTTATATGAGAAAGTATCATTAAAAACTGATCGGGCGAGAAAATGAATCAGAATGATTGAGTGCAATAAATGTGCATTTCTAAGGAGTCGCAGTAAATTAGCGGAACGCAGTATTAGACGTTTCTACTCGTAGTTGTTGCTGTGATAATGTTATTTATTTTAGCTTCAATTGTAAGTAGGTTTGTTCTTTTAAAATTGTTTAAAAGTATTTTAATTGATAATAATTTCCTCCATACTATTATGAATTTTATCATGGATTTTATCATGAATATTTATTGTCAGTTGCTTTAGTAGAGCACAAAATTCATTGCAGCTGTTGTATCCATACTAATATTATAAATGTGAAAGTGTGTTTGTTCGTTTGTTTGTTTGGTTGTTTGTTTGTTTGTTTGTTTGTTTGTTTGTTTGTTTGTTTGTTTGTTTGTTTGTCTTTCTTTCACGTTGAAACGGAGTGACGGATTGGTGTGATTTTTTGTGTGGAGGTAGTTGGAGTACTGAAGAGTGACATAGGCAGACATACTTTTTACCGCGGGAGATTTTCTAATTCCCACAGGAAACACTTATAATACAATCCAAAAAAAATACATGATCAGAATTACTTGAAACTTGATATTAATGCTCTTCAATAAAATTCAATAAATATGTGTTTTAGTATTTTTCAAAATTCATCCTATAAAGGGGTAAAATAGGGGATGACAGTATGTAAGAAACTACCTTTTTAGAGATTTTTTGTAGTTTTAGCGCGAGCAAAGCCGCGGGTTTTGCTAGTTAATAATAAATCAAAAAAATATCAGAATGACATTTACTATGATATAACGATCAATGTCGTTTCAATACAATTTTAAAATTTATTATCTTCAACAATTGTCCAATAACATGTTATCTAAGCTCCCAGTACACTTAATTTAAACCTAACTGTAATGTTTTTACTTGTGTTATATACTAAATATAAATAACTAAGTTACAATAGCCTATACAGTTGCTTAATAGCCATTTTTTCCGATTCCAATTAAAGCTTATGATTTCTGAAAATAAACATATTTGTAGAAGAATAAATAGCCTGTGGCACTCTACTGTATTGTAGCTTTCTATTAGTGAAAAAAATTCAGAGACGGATCAGTAGTTTCGAAGATTTTTCTTTAATATTAGTGTAGATTACTGAAATTTAAAATAACATTCCTTAAAATATTTGTAAATTTTGTGTAATGACCACCTTACATACCCCAGTTGGGTCTGATTGTTTAATTGCAAGGGATGATTTATTGAAAATTAAAAAAAAAATCATGCCAAGGGCCTTTTTTGCAAATTGCCAAAAAGCTCTTGAAGGAAGGCTGGGTGCATCTTTAGTGTATATAAAATAAAATATTATCTTTTAGTTCATTATGACAGCAGAAGCTAAATCATCATCTTCAACTTCGATAGAAGACGTTTCCAGTATAGAAGATTCAAGTAAATATTTTTATTAATATCTAATTTATTTTCTATATAAATAATAAAGCAAATAAATAGACACAGTTATCTAAAAAAATATAACTTTTGGGCCTTTTACGTGTTTATCTGTTTGGATCGTGTTTTAATGGCCACATATTAACAGAGCGCTCGATTTACATAATATATGGTCGCACTTAACGAGAGCTCAAGCTTCTACTAAATATTTATTTAAGTTTTTCCATATGATACAATATAATAAACATTTAAACAAAAATCCATTCGCTTATACGCGATACTAATAGGAACATAGAAATTCCTATAATTATCACAACTTTAATTTTACCCTCAACCTTTGAACTCGTAAAATTATTCCAAGAGTTATGTTGTTTTAGATAATTGCCATCATTATTTACATTATGTATGTTATGAACGTGAAACATTTTTAAAGCAAATATTTTTGTCAGAATTTAATGCTAGAGAAAAGTCAATTATTAAGTATTATAAAAAGTACTAGCGAGTCACCATCGCTTCGCTCGGGTTCGTCCCTAGATACGTTTTAACGGTAAGCGTAAAAAGGTAACAGACAGACAGACAGAGTTACTTTCACACTTATAATATAACATTAGTTTGGATATTGGGGTCTATTTAATAAAATATCTCTAACGAAGACGTGTTCATGTTTATTAGTATTTTTTTACATTATAATACTAACAAATTTTCCTATAATAATAATTCAAAATAGAAATAATATTATCTTTACTAAAAGATGTTTTATAATGGAAGTCAATTTGTTAGTCTGATGTTTAAGTTACATGGGCTACTTTTCATCCACATACTCGTACATGCTTTCAATTCCTATGAGATTTTAATTCGAGAAAATTATTGAATAATGTGCAGAATACGAGTATATTATGCACTGAGTTAAGCGAGTTTGTTTGTACAGCTATTTTAATCTCTTCTACTTTAGAAATCTTGCAATTAAACAAAAAACTAAGTTGACGATATAATGGCTTCGTTTGAAGAAGTGGAATTTGCAGTCATAAAACTATTTACATTATTAAATTGTGTGGCACCATGTTCCAGTGTTTTCCTTACTTGATACTCCAGTGAGTGATGAGGACTCTTCTGATTCTTTGGAAGCGAAGAAAGGTTTGTTAATTATTAAAATATATGGAACTGTAATATATAAGCTATATTTAATACTAGCGACTAACGCTTCGCTCGGGTTCGTCCCTTGCTTGATTCCCTTTACAAATTTTAATCCATATTTTCACCCCCTTAAGGGATGATTTCCGGGATAAAAAGGACATAGGATATGTCCTTTCTAGGGTCTCAAACTATCTTCTTCCCAAATTTCATCTAAATCGGTTCTGTAGATCCAAAGATTACCCCCTACAACGTCACAAACTCACAAAAGTCACAAACTTTACCTCTTTATAAACTTGTTTTTGTAAGTCTCTTTATAATATTACTATAGATTGATTTTATAAATATGTAACTTTATTTTAGCAATAGTAATATACCTCGATAAAGTACTAGTATATTGAGTATATACCGATCAAAACATACGTAGTGTAAGGTAGCTTTAACTTTTTCACAACTCAAATGATTAATGAACTAAATAATTTTATCTGTGATGTGTTCAAAACGTATGGTTAAAACAATCTGATTCGGGATTCAAACTTGAGACCTTCAACTGAGCTGTATATGACATGATGTCACCACGACAGACAGTATTTAATTATATTAATTGAATTATTTGTCTTTTTTTGTAGAATTGAAAAAATATAGTAATTGGCTATGTAAGTATAAGTATATTTTATTTTGATATATGAGTCTTATGAATCATTTATTTATATCGAGTAACTTATTTGATTTCAGTTAAGAAACAGCAAAAGTTTTACGTCGATAAATATAGTAAGTTCTCAATTCAAATATACTTAGTAAGTTTTCATCTTATATTTTAATAATTAAGACATCCTATGTACGTAATATGCTTATGAGGTAATAGCGGCTCACCCTCGCTTCGCTTGGGTTGCCTTTAGAAAAAGAAAAACAAATCTATCCCATGGAACCGTACATTTTTCCGGGATAAAAACTAAGCTACGTGTTATTCTGATGTATGAGCTATATTATTGTAAAGTATCATTAAAATCCATTCAGTAGTTTTTGCGTGAAAGAGTAACAAACATCCATACATTCTCACAAGCTTTTGCATTTATAATATTAGTAGGATTAGTTTATAAGCTAGATTCAGCGCTCGGTACTCTAAATAAAACTCTCTTAAAATAATGTTTATTTATTTTATGTAAATAAATATTTTAAAAAGTGACATCACATAAATAACGATAGAAGTTGATAGATTTTCTTATCAAAAAATCTAAGTAGAAGTCTACGGTGTTGTATCGCTGTACTCGAAGTGCAATACTAGGACTGATCTTTCAGTCTTTTGGGATTCTCTCTGGGCTATAAGGTATCCTGCACATACTATAAAAATGCAACATCTTGCACGAAAATAATAGTTCTAATGAAATTGTTTTATCAAAAATCTGTCAAGAAGATATTAAATTTTAATTTTTACATAAACCTTGCACTATACCCGAAAAAGTTGGAATGATATTTTTAAGGTATAAGACTTGTGATTTTTTTTCTTTCAAAATAATTAAGAAAATTTCTTTTATTTTACAGAAAAGGAAATTAGTGAAGAAGGTAAAGAATTTTACTGTTAGAAAATTTAGTTACTAACGTTTTCCCGCGATTCCACCCGCGTTGTTCATTTTTAAGTTACTCTGATGTATTTAACAACTAGCGACTCACCCTCGCTTCGCTCTTGCCTCCCAATACAAATTTTTATCCCCATTTTCACCCTCTTAAGGGATGATTAACGGGATAAAAAGTATCCTATGTCCTTTCCAGGGTCTAAAACTATCTTCTTACCAAATTTCATCTAAATCGGTTCTGTAGATCCAGAGATAACCCCTTACAAACTCACAAACTTTATCTCTTTATAATTTTTCATCAAAATCCGTTTCGTAATTTTAGTTTTAGAGTTGTGAAAATTAATCAGGAATTATAGTTAAATAAATAGAATTTTCTTAATTTGTCTGCAATCGTAATTTCGACAAAAAATACATATTTTGTTTAACAATGATCGAGTTAAGAGTGTATGGTCGTTAACATACGATCTATATTTTTTTATAATATATAGATTCAAATTTTGTTTCAGAACAAGATCAAGTTAAATTTTTCGAGAATATTCTTCAGAATGTTAAAAAAATGGGAAGTAAGTTGTTAATTGCATTAAAATTTAGTGATTTTTATATATTACTATTTTAACATTTCGAGGAAAACATTTATGATTAGAATTTACCTATTTAGATAAAAAAAATTTTTTTTTTTATTGATAACACTATCACTCGTCAATAGTTACTAAGCAAAAAAAAAATCGGTTGACAAAGGAGAAAAAGATTTCGTCTTTGCCTATTTATATATTATAATAATATTTACTTAACAATGTAATTTCTCTTTCGAAATGGTAAGTCGTCACCACACACTAATATATGAACGTATAACAAAGACTTGTATGGGTATTGATCTTGCGAACAAGAAAACGATAACTTGCTTTTGTCTTTTGTAACTTTATAAAAAAAGAGAAAACGATAAAAGTATACTTAGTTTTTTAACTTGCAATTTTTTAATAAATATAATTTTTTTTTCAGAAAATCTTAGTAATTCATAGAAGATGCAATAGAGTATATGTTTTTATTTCAATCTTGGCTAATGCCAAAAAATTAATATTTTTAATAATTATACGGTTTTTTTATTAAAAAGGTATATAATCATATTTTTTTATACTAATTTATTGACCCGCCAGTGTTTCCTTCAAGTTTTATCTGTAACCCGCACGTATTATATGTCAATGCTCTTATGTCTCTGTAAAAAAGCCTCTACTACTGTCTGACGATCTCTATCTCTTGTAAACTCTATCAAAATTATAGTTATAAAAAAGTAGAAAATATTTATGGAAGTCATCATAATGAGTTAAACACAACCAAACAAAAAGGTTTTCTGTTAGCCATTAAAGAATTTCACTATCCACCTACTGGCTCCACATAGATCAGCTCGATAAAGTCAAATTATTTAACTATTTAATTGTCATCTAAATTCCATTTAATAACAAAAACCCTAAGATAAGATGTGGTAGATAGGCCATGAGGTGGACGGACCAAATCAGCGCGACAGACAGTAGATGTCCCACTGCAAGAAAGCGCGAGAAAGTTGACCACCAAAAAGGAGTGGAGGCGAATTATCAAGTGGGTCACAAAACCAAAATGAAACCAGTCTGGTGTAAAATGGTGGACACCAGTCTTATGCTAAGGACTCTATGACAAGGACCTACTAATTTCGACATCTTACCGCATTCAAATCTTTACAAGTTACCTATATAATTATTTAAATTAGACCTCAAATGGTCTTCATTTTTACTTCGAGGAGGCTATGAAAATTTGGTACTTTAGTTTCAGTAATGAAACTAAACAATGTGTAGAATGTGAAAAACCATAAATCCGTTCAAACTAACTACGCGGTTTATTAAGCAGCAAAATTCCCGTAATTACACGAACAATCCCTTCCTATTTCGTGTGATAATTCATTGTCGTATACATATGGAACGAAAAAAGTTGTTGTAGCCGTTGCAGGCTCACGAGATTGGTGGAAGGAATCTGAAATATTTCAGCAAAAACGATTCACTGGTTTTTTCCTTTTGTTGCTTTTGATATATTTGTGCTATCCACTTCACGCTTTTCTCTTATTTTTTCTCCATAATATTAATATTATAAATTAGAATACGTGTTTCTTGCAAAGGAAAATTTAAGAAAAAATAACGCTAAAAGTGATATATTACATAGATAGGTAGATAGATACTTTATTGCACACACAAAAGAAGAATACAGACAATGAAAAACTAACAAAAAAGGTATGCAAAGGCGGTCTTATTGCTATAAGCAATCTCTTACAGACAACCTTTGGTGAAAGGATTAGTGGAATCGTAGAGCGGACGGTACAATTTAAACTAAATACATAAGACAAAAATATATACATGTATATATTTATATACATGTACATATATATTTTTGTCTTATATACATATGTATGTATGTTGCACAAATATTTTGTGGAATTTCTTTTCGCCGTACGTTTTTTAGATTTCAATTAATGTTTAAGCTAGCTATTAGTTATACTGTAATATTTTGGCTACACTCCAACATTGGTAAAGACAAATATCAATGTTATTTTGCGTTTAAAGCTCGCATGTATTTTATTAAAAATGAAATTATATTACTCCTATAAAAATAGAAGTGATTGTCGAATAAGATCGGTATAGGATTTTGTATGATTCATACAATTTTTTGCCACGTTCAGGATCAAACATGCAATCTTCTACATAGCAGGCAGTGCTAGTTACACACATGTGACTCTCTAAGGTTTGTTTTTTTAATTTTCTTATCTTCAAATGAATTTGTTAAAACGACATACATATGTTCACTAACATGGCTAATCAATAATAACATGGTTATAATTATATTATACAAAATATTGATATTAAATAATGGAGAGCTTGAGTCGTTAGCCCACTAAGTGGTCACCTTTGATCAACAGAATTATTGTTGATCGAAGGTGGTCAGTTGGTCACCCACTAAGTGCATGTCGCAGTTATAGGCTTAGCTTTGTTGGTCAAACGTAAGGTCTAACTTCTCTGTAATGAATGCTTTAATTTGATTGATAGCATTACAATAATGTTAGATAATAAGAAATAGAAATTAGCAGTTTTGATCAATAGAGTATGTCTTATATATATATATATATATATATATATATATATATATATATATATAAGGTTGCCAACAGAACCCTATTATTAACCTAAATAACGAACCCTAATAGAAAGAGAGTTGAAATTTTCACAAAGTATGTATTTCTATTGCTGCTATAATAAAAAAAAATACAAGAAACATTTATAGACATTCGTAATGGATAATAATCGAAGTCAAGTAATATGTCTCCGACTGCATAATTGGATTTTTTATTTTAATAATTAAATTTATTTATCTTATTAGCAAATGTAAAACATATGTATATATTATGTATATTTTACTATTACTTTAATATATTCCCGCAGACTTTCCACTCATTGCACATATCTTTACAAATCAAGATTTCCCTTTGGGTTTACAGAATATAGAAATTTTCTTCTAAAATTCTTGTGCTTCATAAATTGAACATTTTACATTGGATATAAAATACTACATATAATATGTAGATAGTTTTTATAAAAAAGAAATATTTTTTCTTTCTAGTTTAATTTTTATTAGAATACTAGCATTGCCCGCGGCTCCGCCCGCGTTCAGATGACCAAAAACTAAATTCTTAGGTGTTACATATTAGTATACTCTTACATTGCAGTTTTTGTATTTTTCCTCAGAAATAAGATATTTTCCCGCGGTAAAAAGTATCCTAGGATCGCGCGCTACATCGCCCGGTTTATATAGCTTGAGCAGGCGGTCGAGCGATGCGGGGCAGAGGGGATGGACTCGCCGTAGGCATCTCAATGCTCGCCAAGCATTAAAAATGTTTCGCTACTAATTACTTCTAACAACGATATCTCAAAAACTATTCATCTGATTGATTTAGTGTAAAGAGCAATTTTAATCTGCATTAAATGACTAAGCTAACTAAAATATTCATTTGGATAAGGATTAATACCGAACTAAAGAAAATAACTTTGAAAATAACGTAATGTTTTTAATTAAAAATGTTAACATAAAAGTGGTTATTGTAAGTCAACCGTAAGAGATAGAGATATGCTATCGCGGACTTTTTTGTAGCATTTTTATAGATTTTGAATTCTCTAGTACATTACTTAACTGTATCTTTGCTAGTTTACGCGGCGTTCGCGTGGAAAGTTCCCATTTGGCGAGATTTTTTGCGACCTCTTCAACATTTGTCGCCGTATTTCAGCTAATTTACATAAAAGCATAATAAATTATATACCTAAACCTTCCTCAAGAATTACTCTTTCTATTGTTGAAAACCGTATAAAAATCCGTTCAGTAGTTTTCGAGTTTATCGCGTTCAGACAGACAGGAGGACAGACAGGAGGACAGACAGGAGGACAGAAAGACGCGGCCGGGGGACTTATTTTTATAATAAGTATAGATTCTACAGGTTAAGTATACTATGATGTCAGCTTCTGTCTGACGTCTTAGTAGTAACTGAGGTAATAATAAAGTATAACTAAAGGCTAGTTATTTATATTATTAATTACTTATGAATTAGGCGTGCTTGTTTGGATGGAAAGATTATTTAAATATTTTGAACGATAAAAAGAATATATATATCTTTAAAGAGTCTCCATCTGTCTATTAAATATAACTTACCTCCTTACATTTAAATCGCTATATCTTGCGATATTAGTCGGTAGTCGGTAAACTTTTTATGACAAATCGTTTGTCACGGTGGATTTTGTATATATATATATATATATATATATATATATATATAAATCATTATACTATAATATAATATTATGTACAAGTATTACGTGGACGTGGATTAATTTTAAATAGTAGGTGGATGGAGTGGTGGATATACACTAGCGACTCAGCCTCGCATCGCTTGGGTTCGTGCCTAGGTAGATTTTAACGGTTAGTATATAGGAATAGATTATTATGTAGTATATGATGTATATCCTATAGCCTTCCTCAATAAACGGGCCATCTAATGCAAAAATAATTTTTCAAATCGGATTAGTAGTTCCTGAGATTAGCACGTTCAAACAAACACTGCCTCTTTATAATATTATTATAGATTAAACAAGGTACTCTAAATATTAAAAAAAAATATTTTTTTTTATGATGTAGTTATTCTAACATGCTAGCTCTCTGTAAAACCTAACTATCTCGATAAACGTTAAAGCGATCCGATTTGGTTCATTACCGCGCAGGAAGTGGCCGACGTCGACTGAATAAAACATCACACTTTGGCGTCACTTAGATCTTTTCTAACGTCAACACAGATTTAAAAATATTTCTTATAAAATTTAATAAGTATTTTTACTTGAACGCCTTAGAAAGAGTATATATGTATGTATCCTTAAAATACGAGTATATCCAATACTCGTATTTTAAATTTTATATTTATTTAGAATTGCCTTAATCCTGTAAAGAAAAAGTATTTGTAGACACGTAATATGTCGAAGTTTCTTTAAGAAGATTCAGTGCTTTATATTATTTAGTCATTTTTATGGAAAAATCAAATAATGGCTAACGATACAAAATTTTCTTCTTTAAAAATAACATTAAAATATAGTTTTTATTAGTTTAACGTCAATCAAATTTATTCCTATTTAAATAAAAAATATATCATTACAAGTAATAAAATATTGCAAAGTCAAGATAAATAACAATATAAGTAGGTATTGTAGTCAGTACAATAAAGTATTATTGACGACACGTTTGGCTCAGTTTGTAGTGACCCTACTTGCTGTGCCAGCGGTCGCGGGTTCGAGTCCCGCTGGAGGAGGCTGGATTCATTTGTGTGATGAGTACGAATTTTTGTACTCCAATCATGGGTGTTTATATTTATAATGTTAATATTATAAGTTATATATTGTGTGTATCAACTATCTGGTATCCATAACACAAGCCTCGTATCTTACCATGGAACTAGATGGTGCTGTGTGTAAATGTTCCGACATATTATTACTTTTATTATTTATGAAAGCTCTGACCTTACGTTAAACCAAATCGTAATTTAGAATGTTTACGGTATGATTCTGTTTGCTTTTCGACATACGTTATTTTGGTTTGAACGGATTAATTATTTAAGCAAAGTTCAATATTGAGTCGTAATTTCAATAAAAAAATATTTTCCGATGTTGTATTGAGTTTATTTGTTTGTATGTTCGAGATATTTTTTGAACCCTTAGACAAATCGACTTTCTACAATCGATATCGCTAATAGAAAAATAAAAAATATATTACTAGCGGCTCACTCTAGCTTCGCTTGCGTTCACCTCTAGAAAAACAAAACAAATCTATCCCACAGGAATCGTACATTTTTCTGGGATAAAAAGTTTTCAAACTTCAAACTATAATCTATCTCTGTGTTAAATTTCATACAGATCCGTTCAGCCGTTCTGGCGTGAAAGAGTAACAAACATCCATACTCACAAACTTTCACATTTATAATAATAATAATAATTAATACAGATGGAAATGATATATTTAGTTATATAACAAAAATATTAAGTATTATATGAAATGGTTATATTTACTTCATAACTTTAAACCAAGTTATCTATATATATAAAAGAAAGTCGTGTTAG